TAAAAGACGCTTAAGAAACTTGCCGAAATTGAAATGCTTATCAAATGTTAAACTACAATTTGATTTATTTTCTAACATTTTTTATTTGGCATTTGCAGCGTGCTGATGTTAATCAATTTGCGCAAATTAAAAATTAATTGCAAATTTATGGCTTTTAATTTTCTTATCGCTGATTTATGCCACCAAAAATTACACTAACAACAACACCAATTTTGCATTGCCAAACATTTGGTGCCACTGTTGTGGCTTTGCATTGGCTGCACTTCAATTTTTTAAGCTATCTAGTTTAATTGAAACTTAAGTATATTTACTAGTAAGAGAGTATCAGGAAAAAGTACTCGTTCAGGAAATACCCTGTACACCCGTCTGAAATTGTTGAGAAAATATAAATACTCTCTTTTCTTTCACTCACTCACTCTGTTATTGTCTTTCGTTTACTTCATCTTTTACTCAAAGTTTTTCTTTTTTTTTACTAATAAATGCGTTATGAAAATCTCGATATCTCTTTCTCTCTCTCTCCATCTCCTGTTATCTCTCCCTCTCCCTCATACCTCTCATCTAATATTGGATAACATCTACAAAGATCGCAAAGGCGATTTGCACTTATTTAAAAAAACACATTCATTTTGGCGTCGGGGGTATCTCCTGTTTGTTTTTTACAGGGTACAACAGTGTGATCGAATTAAGCTAATTGTAGGTTTTTCTTTATAGCACTCATAACCAAAGAACATTGCCAATTGGCTTAAAAAAAGCAGTTTAGCTTGAACTCGATTTTGGCATAAGACTTAAATCGGAAGCAGCGCGTCAATGTCGTAAAAAACTCTATTAACATTGCATTAGGCGTTTAAATATTTGCAATTTGGGGTTAGTTCTTCATAGCAATTTACCTTCAAGTTGGGCTAATAATGATATTCCAATTTATACGATTTTGGGCTTGGCCAAATTATTCAAAAGTTAAAAGCGAACGACTGGGCGAGCGCAACGGCTATCGGGTGGCTCTTTCGGCAATTGTTTGGCCAGATGATCACTGGACCATTGCCACCAGAGTTGGACGCAGTCACAGCCCCAATAGGCCAAAAAAATGTATGCAACAGCAGCCGTTGGAAGCAGGCAGCAGGCAGCAAAATGCAACAATAAATCTCATTTTATGCAGCGCAGAGAGAACGGCCCTTTTATAGGTAACGCTAATGTAGCCCAAAATTGAACTTGACATTTGAATGCCCAATTAACCGTGACGTGTGCGCGAGCAGCACGTCCTCGTCCTCGTCCTCATCCGCAGCCGCATCCTCCTTAGCTGGACAGTCGAGTCGCTGCCGGCAGCGCCATTTGAGGTCAAGTTTTGGGCATTCCAATGCGTTATGTTTTATTGGAGCAATGTGCATTGTGGGGGGCACTGTGGGGTCCCCATGCGGATCCAAGTACTCGAATCTGCTTTGCCTGCTAATTAACCCACTTTCTAAGACCGCGCGACCTTTTTTTATCTGCGCCATTCAAATCACGACTCTGCCATGTGCGAAATTTGCCTGCCATAAAAAAAAGAAGAAAATGTGGTCTGTGACCATTGGACATTGGCCATTGGTCACTTGGCCTGCGTGCGATTCACACGCATGCCAAAAGCGGTGTTTGTTGTTGTTGCTGTTGGTGGAGAGCATGCAAGGCAAGTTGTTTGTCCTCCTCTTAGAGTTTGGGTCATCATGTTGCACTGCCATGATTATAAAATCACGATAAATATTTATACTGCACTTAGATTTATGGTGATTCATATCGTTCCAGCAGAAGTCATCGGCCAATGGGCATCAGCAGCGGCCATAAACATTTTTATTAGCAATAATTGCACAATCTACCATGTGGTTTATTTGCGTGCAGCGGTCAAAAGCGTCAAACCTGTAGATATGAATATTTATTTAGTGCCTGCCAAATTTTGCATTTCGTTTGTCATCAATCTTTTGATACCGGTAAATTTAGCATTTGATAATGCCATAGGCTATCAATTGTTCAATCTCCGCCTGCTTTCTAGGCCTTGACACGATCCACAAGGCCAGAGACAATCGATAATCAAACAGTGCAGGCGAGCCCAAAGCGGCCCTAAGTGTTTCTTTTCTTGCTAATAACCATAATAATCGCAAGAAGCCTGAAAACTGTTTTGCCAGCACATTAAATGCAACATTTAAATTAATAGAATTATGCTCGCTAATTTTGTTAATAGCTCAACTAGCTGGCAAGTCCCGCGGCCTCGCAATCACCTCCGATCGAAATACATACATATATATGTAAATATACTGGCATACAAATGTCGAAATCGAACTGAAATGGCCCAAAGCTGGGTATTAAATTATAAAATAATATAGGTTTTTCTGTTTTATCAACTGAAGGCTATAGTTCAAATAATAAAATAAATGATACTTGATATTATTCTGGAAGTTATATGTCTAGTTTTTAAAACCTAAGAGATTTTAATTAAAAACAGGATTTCGTAATCGGACCTAGGCGGACCTACGTACAAGGTCTCTTATAGGTTCTGAGATCGACGTGTTCATACATACGGACAGACAGACGCACAAACAGACGGATATATCTAGGTCGTCTCGGCTATTGATGCTGATCAAGAATAGTATTACTTTATTGGGTCGGATATGCTTTCTTCTGCCGATTACATACATTTGCACAAAAACATTATATCCATTTCACCAATTTTCTAGCGCAAATTGCAAGAATTTCTGTATACATGTGAGAGTCTGCTTCGAATTCTAGCAACAGCATTGCAATTGCGATTGTATTGTTCTCTGTGCTGCTATTTTAATTCGTTTTTTCCTCATTAAGACTCAATAGTTGGTGTGGCTATTGGATAAAGGCCGCGGTGGTGTGGTTAGTTGCAAGTTCGAGCCCTGCCAAGAGAACTTTTTATTTCTACTTTATGGTTATTACAACGAAAGCAAACGAGCTGGTAGTGCGAGCTCTATTTGGTGTTGGAAGAAGAGGGTTCAGGGTAGCCCCTAGACGAGAGCTCCCGACTAGAACCTCTTACTTGTTTTATACAACTTTAATTAGTTTTAATTTTTAGAATCATAGTTTGTAAGTTAAAAATACAATGAATATTTTATTTCATTTTCAAAATTTGTAGAACACTTTTGGAAACAAAATTTTATCACGTCTAGAAATATAAATGTACGTTTTCTTATATTTTTTTTTAAAGGTGCATTATTTTTAGTCATGCAATTTGAAATAATATTTTTTTTCACTTGAGTGCAGCCTTTAAGTGACGTTTGTTATAAATAAACGGCTGATCAATGACATATTGGCAATCGTAAACTGTGATAATGTATTTGGATACGTAATTGGGGTTGCCGCCCCGGACCTCGGAGCCTGTGGCCCTGTCAGTCGCGTAAGTGCCGCTAAGTGTTTTGTCTTGTAATTTACAAATGCAAATTGTCAAATGACAAAATTCATTTCAATTGCAATTTACTGCCCGCATTGGCGTGCTTCCTTTTGACCCAGTTTGCGTGCGTTTGGCTAACAGGCCTAGCACAAGCATCCTCCTCCAATGAAAAACTAGTTTTGAGTTATTTTACGCATGCATTGCGTGTGTCAGCGACTAAGTGTGTGTGCGTATTTATACATATATATGTATGTATGTATGCATGTATATTATTGGCCTTGATCTAGAATTTCGATTTTTCCGATGTTTTCGATTTCGTTTTGCGAGAAGACAAATGCCAGAGAGACATGTCTACATTTGTATGTCTATGCGCTACGTACAACATGGCGTATGTGTGATGGTATGTGATGTGCGGGGATTGCGTAATCTCGATTCGTGTACTAAGTACCGGTTTAAACACCGGACCAGTTCACTGTTTACACTCTTATGCATCTAAGTATGCAGCACCACAGCTGAGCCGTGTGTGTAGAAACGCGTGCGTTTTTGCACTTATAATTTATTGAGAAATTTAATTGAATTCGCTTGCTAACTAACTGGCCAACCGGTCGAATAATTTTGACCACTGATTACAGATTGAGCAATTGCATTGCGCTTTAGCTATTTAATGTTTTTTTTGCGCTTTTTTTTTGTTTAAAAAACTGTCCATAATCATTTTAAACAATTGGTTTTATTAAAAGGTAGTCTGCTTTCGACAAAACAGTTGTCAGCAAGTCCACTCGGGAATGGTATAAATGGTAGATGCAGGTGAATCAGTTAATTCAGTCACATTTTCCATTTTACTCAAGAACAACATTAGCTGAAGTACAGGATGGCAAGCTTTATAGCTCTGTTTTTAGTTTTACTAATGGCTGTTATTGTAATGGCTCAGATGCCTGAAAGTATGAGCTTTGATTCAGGTGCACGTAAAATGCAGTTTGATAAACTCTCCAAAGGTTTTTATGATAAATTGATGGACTACTCTCTGGACATTTAGGTAATGTGCATAATTCTGTGTCTTACAGTCATTTGTTATACCAAGCCTGAGTATGGCCAATGCAAGGGTCGACGTCAGATGTGGTATTTCAATAAGTATAAACTTAAGTGCGAGAAATTCATCTATTCAAACTGCGGAGGTAATCGTAATCGTTACTTTACCAAAGCCGAATGCGATGAATTTTGCACAGAGAGAGCTAAAGAATGGATGGCAAAGGAAATGCCAATGCGCCCCAGACTTGATATCAAATAGTTACAATTAATCTATTTTATTTGTATGCAAAAAAAAAATAAAACTATCAATTAATAATTAATTAAAGACAAAAATGAAACGTTCTAATTATATTCAAACCTTTTTTTTAAAAATGCCAGGTTATCGATAATAATTTGGTTAAACTTTTCAATTCTTAGTTCAGCCCAAAAATTAGTCAATATTTTATCTTCATATTTTTGCACAAAAATGCATAGACGCTATTAATATATATACATTGCATATGTGTTATGCCAATTAGCAGCAAGTGCACAAAACACATTTCCATTAAGAAGTTCCGATATATAAAGAGGTCGGCTTAGGCCAAATCAATGCAGTGCCATACTATACTTTGCTTGTCGCTATATCGGTTGAAAAATGAAAGTCATAATAGCCATATATTGTGTCTTCCTGTTGCTAATCTCAACGGCAAACGGGGCAAAAAATAACACTGCGAAGGATAGAAACAATGCTCTAAGGACGCGTAAGTTACAAGTGGGAAGGGACTGCTGATAATTGATATGGTATCTCTGCAGGCATATGCTCAGCGCGTCCCGAATATGGTTTTTGTGAAGGACATCGCTCGTTATGGTACTATAATCCCGGTCGATCACGATGCCAATTATTTGATTACTCCAACTGTGGTGGCAATCGCAATAAGTTCTTCTCCGAAGAACATTGTATCAATTTTTGTAAGAAAAAAATCCTCAGCTAGTTTGCTTATATATCAGAATAATCGTTATACATATATACAAAAGTAGCACATTTGTAAATAAAGCCCAAAATATGAATATCAAGATCAAATACAACAAAACAAATACAACTATTTCTAATCAAAACGAATTCAATAATATTCGTTTATATATTGGAAACTATTACAACAAAATATTTCAATATTGGAGTGTTTAAAAACAAGTTGTACGTCTCCTAAAAGGGAGGTGCCTGTTTTGTTTTGGTAAAAATTCACGTTATGGAACTTTCAATGCCATGATTTACAGTTCGCAAATTACATATTCTTAGGCAGAACAGAATATCATCAATAAAATATTTTGAATACAATATTGAATTCGTTTTAACACGCTAAAATCACAGCGAAAGCAACTTTGTTTAATTTAACAGAGCGAGTGTATTGCCGCAACGAAATCACGAATCGCTCGCGTTTCAGTCACTCGCCAGATCCGCATTTCACTGACGAACGGCGATTTTTTGGTACAATTTTCAACAGGCGTGCAGCAATGCAAAAGGCAAGAAAACAACAACCTGCTGCACAGTGCTATAACTTAAATATTCACAATGTGTCAATACACGCGCACGCACGCACATACACACACTCAAGTTCACAAGGGCTGGGCAAACATTGCGCTGCTTGCTCGCATTGGAACAGGCGAACAGCCTTGTCAGCTGCTAGCTGCCAGCTTTTGTTTGCTGCTTTTGTTGTTCTCGCTGTTAAAATGAAAGCTCGCCAAAAGTTTTCGTTGCACACGTATGAAAGTGCTTGCGTGCGTGTGTGTGTGTGTGTGTGAATACAACGGCAAAATGTGCAAGCTTATCTCTCTTTCGTTTGAATGGCAACAATGGCAATGGCAAAGCGTAGAAATTACGGGAAAATGGCGAAATCGAAGAATAAAGTCACGCAATTTCAATTACAAATAAACGCACAGCACTGGCAATGCCAAATGGCAGCTGCTCTCTACATGCTGCAAATTTACTATGGCCAATAATAATACTTGTAATAATGAAATTGTGATAAGCTGTGCGCCACAAATTGCACGCTAGCCAGAGACGCCCGAGACGAGAAATAATTTAAACCGTTAAGCGCAAGATGCGGCAGCATCAAGCAGATGTTGCAGCGTCGTCATTCTGGCTGGTAACAGCAGCTGATGCCCTGCTCCCGCCACCAGCACCACTCCTGTACAATGCTATCGTGTTGCTTGGCAACATTTGACGCACGCCGGCAACTTATTGCTGGCAACATTAGCGACGTGTGTGCGTGTGCCGCGGAGTCAGGGGCAGGGACAGAGTCTGGAGCTGAGGTTGGTGCTGCAGTTGAAGCTGTAGTCGGTGTCCCGACTGAGCTTGCGCTTTGGTGTTTGCCAATTAATATTCGTATGATCAAATGCTTAACGCATTTAGCCTTATAAAAACCAACAAGACGTTTCGCCAAACCGGCTCGCGTCCAACTTGTGTAAATGATCCGCGTTCTGCTCTGATGCTGGGAGCTGGAGACGGTGCTTCAGTTGGCACGTCTGGCAGAGGCCTGTGGGAAAGTGCGCCTTAATTGACATGAGGCGTTTTAAATGCTGCACTGACCTGGTCAGTGGATAAATACTATAAATAATAGATATACAATTGCGGCTTCATTTAATTACATACATATTTATGCATTTATTTAGTATTGATTTGTATAAGGTTTGTTGTTAGTTGTACATATATATGTACACACACATATGTGCGTATTTTCAAAAATGTTTTTTTTCTTGTTTTCATTTTTTGTGTTGTGTTTTAGTATGTTTGGTAAACTTGTTTATGCAATTTGACGAAGACAAATCAGGTTTACAGGTTTCCATTTAGCTTTTTTTCGGTAAACATGTTATATTTTTTGCTATATTTGTTTATGCATAGATCGCTTTTAAATTTCATTAGTTATGCGCTAGCCTGTGTATGCATGTATGTATGTATGTATGTATGTATGTGTATAGTTCTTTGAATGTATGCATTTATATATATATATGTATATATATATATATTTATGTATGTATTCCAAGTGGCATAACAAACTGTTAAACTACGTACAGAAAATGCATAAATATTTTGTTTAATTAGTAGAGTTTTCACATGATTTTTATGGATAGGTACTTCTTGTGAACACTGTTGTACCATAAAGCAGGCTAACATTTAAAGCATTGCACACATCAAGAGAAAGACTTTTGTATTTAAATCATGAATAGGATGTCATTTAAATAATAATTAACTAAAACTTCATGTTAAACAAATGATAACAACAAGGCTTTGCCTCAAATCAGTTTCAAATTAAACAAATTAAAATGCTTTACCTACGCTCCAATAACAACTAAAAGACTAGCTTTACAGATTTTTTCCAATTTTTTAAACCATATCCAAATGCTTCACCCATATTATAATTAGTTTTTAAATGTTTTGCGTATATCTCTTACTTATTTTTTGTATTTTGTAAGCACACTTGCTTATAACTTTTTTGCGTTGTATTTATTTTGATTAGAGTTGTCGTTTAGCATTGTTTTATTTTGTTTAATAAGAGTTTATTTAAAATTATATAACAACGCGCATTGGGATTAGTTATGTATGTATGTATATATATTTATCGCTTGTATATAGCCAATTTGTATTTTTGTTTGCGGGATATGAATTTTCATTGCTTTTATAAGCAGTTCGCTGCGTCAATTGTTTTTATATTTTATTTTTTTTTTGTATACAGCTTTTAACATCAATAAAATTGTTTATGTGCCAATAGTATGTTAATTAATTTATGATTTACTCGATTTAAAGATTAGATATATAGCTAAAATTTGCTAAAACATTATCGCACACAAGTGGGTATTTTTTTTTCTTTAATTAAATGCAATTGCTTTTTAAGAAGATTTTAAAAGTTTGTAAATGCATTATTTTCGTTTCAAATTAAACGAAACAACGATGATATCAGGAAAAATTGTGCGTTCTATTGATCTGGTACTCAGAAGTTTGTAGCTTGACAAAAAAGCTGGAGTTTTCTTGAGTGCAGCTCATTAAAAAAATTTGTGCCATTTGTAAAAAGTCTTTTTGTTCAATGTGTTGTTGTTCTTGTTGGCCATTTAAAAATTAATACCAATTAAATATATAAAATGCTCAAGGACTAGGATCAATTTGAATAGTTGCCACACGATTTCCATCTATAACTTAAACAGCGCACCGTAGTTGGTCAGGCAAAATAGTTTGGCGCAGAGGCTGCGACTGCGGCTGTGAGTGCGATTTGAGCTAGCTGCCAAAGAATGATGTTGGGCCCGGGCGGTGGCCAGCTCCTGGCTCTATTTGCTGCCACCGCCGCAATATTCACCCTGAAGCATGCCATTATCGAGTAGCAGAGCTGGCGTTGTGACAATCCCATCGCGCAGCGCCAGCTGATACGCGACTTCGAAGGCTTGGCCCAGCGTCAGTATTATCTCATTGGCCAGATCCTATAAAATTACGTTTTAGTATAGGCCAAATGGCTTATTTAGGCTGTAACAAACCGTGCTTTGCACCAGGAACACATGACAATAGTGCATATCCTGCTCCTTCGTTATGTAGGCAAAGTGGCGCATATCCTCCGAGTCCTGACAGGCGCAATTGATGTTCTGTATCTCATGCTCGCAGATAACACGCTGGCGAGAACGCAGAGATAAATCGAAGGCACAAAATATATTGCAGCTCTACTTACATTGGTGGCAAGATCAATGAACTCCACGCCGCGGTGACAAATTGCCAGCGACAGCTGTGCGCCCTGCTTATGAACCTCCTCATTTGTTTGCGCGCAGGACGATTTCAGTTTTAGTATAGATTTCTTTGTGGATTCAGTGCCACGTAGTTCTTTCACAACCGTTGAGCCGAGGTACTGGCAAAGGCAATAACCAAATAATTAGATGATGTCGACGTTAACAACGTCATTTACTCACCTGGACCTCGTATTTGATGTGCTCATCAAGCAGAGTTTGCGCCGAATGACACCATTGGGTGGTGCGCATATTGGCCGGCAGGCCCAGCAGCAGCTCGGAGGGTGCGCGTATTTGGAGCGGAGCAGCTGAGTTGGCAGCTGTTGCGGCCTTCTGTGCCGGTGGTGCCGGCGGCGGTGGTGCAGGACTGCGCAATGTAACATTTATTTGATATTGCACATGTTCGAGTTCTGCTCAATAAAACCTACCGATTCTTGCGGTAACCCGTCATGGAATTTCGATGCGGCAAAACAGTTGTGGGTGGCTGTGTGCTGTCCGCTGCTGTGGCAGTTACCGTGGCCTCCTTGTTGCCATTCGTTGTCATTTTGTTTGTTTCGTTGTTTTCGGCCAGCGGGGTTTTGAGCGACTTGGATTCACGCATTTTCCGTATATAGGCCAGGGATTGCAGGATGCGTCTGCGGTGGCCCAATTTATTAATCTCCAGCACCGTTTGCAGCTCCACATCCCAGACACCACAGACACTGTCAATGGTGTTGTACAGATGTTTGCTGCAAGTTTTAAGCCGAGAATTTCTTTAAGTGGAAATGTTAACGCAATGCAAAAACTCACTTGAAGAACTCTAGATACTCGGGCAATGCGATGCTGTTCAGCCATTGCTGCAGCGTGGCCACGCCCAGCTGTTTGTTCTCCTGCTGTGCCTTGAATGGCACCTGCGGCAGAAATTCCGCTTGTGGCAATGTCCCTACGAAAGTCAGCAGCTTTGTTGCATCCCGTTCTGGTATGTGCAGCAGCGGAATGTCTGGCTCCTCAAACACATTACGCTTGGGAAAGGTAACTCATGGCATATCAGTGGAAAAGTTATTCATTTTTCATGCTTACCACAAATTTGTAATTATCGTAGCCGTTCTCAAAGAGTATGCGCTCCAGATGTAACAAGCCCGCGTTGCGCAGCCTTACGGCCAATTCTCGACGCTCCGGCAGCACTTCCAGATCTTCGAAATCCAACTCAATATCATGGGTGGGTGTAATGTTCGTGTTGAGTATGCCGCTTCCAAAGTTTTCAATGATTTCAGAGATTTTCTTGCGTGCCTCCTCGGCATTAAAGGGACTCAACAAATTGAGAGAGTTGCGCGCTATCGACTTTCCGC